CATGGCTGTTTGCAGGTTGGGGCGGTCCCGGAGGGTATGTTTACCAGAAGGCTTATCTTGAGTTTTTCTGCTCAAAGGAAAAACTAGATGCACTTGTCAATAAGTGCAAGCCCTTGTCTTCTATTACCTACATTGCCGTCAACAAAGGCCGTGATTTGTCATCGAACATTGGCGCTACAGATGTTAATGCCGTAACTTGGGGAGTGTTCCCAGCCAACAGTGGTGGATCCTGCCAGCTTCATGGTGTGGAAGGACGAAGCATTTGAAATCTGGTCAAGAACATGGGCTGCATTCTACCCAGAAGGCGATCCATCAAAAAAATTACTCGAAGAGGTTAGCTAATGAACTTCACCAATATCGAATAGGGGTTGATCACTTTGATGCTCACTACGGTTGTCAAAAGAACTTAAATCTGTCGGGTTTTACCCGATCTGATGTTATAAAAGCAGGTTTTTGGGGCAAGTAAAAACCGCCCCATACTGTCGAAAACCCTGAATTGATCACTCATGCAACTTCATTTTTCATAGGATTAAGTTCAAGAGTCATGTAAATTTACTTACAAAATGTTTTCATTTCCATTCTTGCAGATCCAGAGCAGCTATTATTTGGTGAGCTTGGTTGATAATGATTACATTGGTGGTGATATTTTCGCTGTTTTTGAGGGTATTTGAAGATGAGATTGCTGTCTTAAGCCGCACATAATATTATTGTGTTTGAATTGTGACATTTTATTATTATTATTATATAAGAATGGTGTAAGATATATGGTTTAAGAAATTTTAAGTGTATAAATCTGTTGAAAAGAACATCTTCAAGATGCTGAGTTGGATAAATCTGTTAGAGGAAAATTTTATGGCAACAATGACTTTAATATTTAGTTTCCTCCTTAGTAATTTCCTTACCCTTTTTCCTTGTACTCATTGTCGTGATGTTGATTTCTCGAGCATTCATTTTTTTTTATTATTTACGATCATAATGTTCTTTACAACATCGACATCATGTTATTGACTAACTCATTATAATAGTTGTTTTTAACAGGTAATCTAGTCCTTGCGGGATCCATGCATGACACTTCATTACGTATATGCTTGCACTCTAATGCATTGACATTATACAACGCATCACTAATCTTATATTTAATTTTAAAATGACTTCTTTCTCATAAAATTCAAGATTTTGAGCATGAAAGTAATGTAACATTTTTAGGAGAAAAACAAGCATTTTGGAAGAAGAACAAATATTAAATCAGTAGAATTTTTAAACATGAGAGGTTAAATTTATTAAGTTCTTTCTAACTAAAATCAAATCAATAGAATGTATATGTTTTAGGACTAAAACTGTTATTATACTCGGTCACATTAGACTTCCATTTCAATGTTAATGACGGAGTTCCCTGTATATGACAATATTTTAATTAGATAACTCAATTGTATATATATATCTTTTTAAAATGATATGTTTATAATTGAACTAATAATTGAATGATCCGAAATGTAATTTACCATTATTTTTAAGATACCTTTTAATTTGGTGGATGTTGTCAAATTATATGTCCACTCAAAAGCCCAATATGACAAATAATTGAGCAACAAACTCAAGAAGATTTCTCAATATGTTAAGCGTTTATCAAAATAATCTTTACTCTACATAAAGAGACTTGATTCAAGTGGTAAACATCTTGATATTGTTTAAACATGTCTCGAGTTCAGATCCTTGTGCATGCAGAAAATCTCCGTTAGAAGACTCACCCATTAAAATTGGATGTGCAACCCAGGTCGATCCGAATTAATCAAGGCAAAGCTATGCGAACCGAGAGGGCAACAAAAAAAATCTTTAAACTCGACAATCTTCAACTATTTTTATTAAAAATTTGAAAATTTTATGATTTATTTAAAATCCCAATTTTTAAAAATAAGAACTTGGAGTTATTATCAATCACTTAGACCAAGTATAATCAAACACTTATAAAATTACTTTTTAAAATAAATTTTAAAAACCTCTTTTTCATGATAATTTTAAGATCTGCTCTTGACTAAAGAATAAAAAACGAATTGGAGGAGAACTAATGCCCTACAACGATCAAGCATGATACCTAACCGATTATATATTGTCTTAATATTGGGTTTACGAGTTCAAATTTATTTTACAATAGAGAAAATCGCCTCAGTGACAAAAAATACCTTATAATATACGATTTTAACCAACTTTTTTTGGATTTGCCAAAATGACCAATAAAATCGCAACGCGATATCAAAATCGCAACGCGATTTAGAAAATCGCAACGCGATTTAGAAAATCGCAACGTTAAAAAGAAAATCGCAACGGTCAAAAGAAAATCGCAACGCGAGCTTCCAAGTTCGCAACGCGAGCTTCCAAGTTCGCAACGCGATTTAGAAGAAAATCGCAATGCGATTGATAGAATCGCAATGCGATTTATAGAATCGCAATGCGATTGAGAGAGTCGCAACGCGATCTAGAAGAAAATCGCAATGCGACTGAGAGAATCGCAATGCGACTGAGAGAATCGCAATGCGACTGAGAGAATCGCAACGTTAAAAAGAAAATCGCAACGGTCAAAAGAATAGTTAAAAAAATTTGTTTCTTAAGAATTTTCTCTAAAAAGATAGTATCCGCGCGGACGTGTCGAAGACACGTATTACCACGACCACGACCACGACCACGACCACGACCACGACCACGACCACGACCACGACCACGACCACGACCACGACCACGACCACGACCACGACCACGACCACGACCACGACCACGACCACGACCACGACCACGACCCGACCCGACCCGACCCGACCCGACCCGACCCGACCCGAGACGAGACGGCGGCGGCGGCGGCGCGCGAGAGTCCCCCTTGTCCTCTTTCACTCAACAAGGAAGTGCAAAATACAAGCCTTAAATATAATTCCCAATAGTGTTTCCAATACTATGTGGGATTGAGCATTACCAACACTTGTTCCCAATATCATTATTCTTCAAAAGTTATCATCCATTACAATATGAATTATCGATAATAAATTAATTCATTTTAATAAGTATTTAAATTATAACTTGATAAATACATGAAATAATTCTATTATTAAATAAAAAATATATTTTTATATTAAAATTATTGAGATAGATATTTACTATAAAAGTAAAAGATTTTTTTTTCACGTACAACCTCTATGTGAATTAGTTTCACAATAAGGTATCGGTTATGCATTGGATTCTTTCGTATTAGATGGTCTTTAATAAGATCATCATCATCATTCTTTTGTTCAACAATACCATATATTAATGAGGTATATTGGTTCATTAACACGACTAATTCATATTGTAATGGATGATAACTTATGAAGAATAATGATATTTGGAACAAGTGTTGGTAATGCTCAATCCCACATAGTATTGGAAATACTATTGGGAATGGTATTTAAGGCTTGTATTTTGCACTTCCTTGTTGAGTGAAAGAGGACAAGGGGGACTCTCGCGCGCCGCCGCCGCCGCCGTCTCGTCTCGGGTCGGGTCGGGTCGGGTCGGGTCGGGTCGGGTCGGGTCGGGTCGTGGTCGTGGTCGTGGTCGTGGTCGTGGTCGTGGTCGTGGTCGTGGTAATGGTAATGGTAATACGTGTCTTCGACACGTCCGCGCGGATACTATCTTTTTAGAGAAAATTCTTAAGAAACAAAATTTTTTTAACTATTCTTTTGACCGTTGCGATTCTCTAAATCGCGTTGCGATTCTCTCAGTCGCATTGCGATTCTCTTCTAGATCGCGTTGCGACTCTCTTCTAGATCGCGTTGCGACTCTCTCAATCGCATTGCGATTCTATAAATCGCATTGCGATTCTATCAATCGCATTGCGATTTTCTTCTAAATCGCGTTGCGAACTTGGAAGCTCGCGTTGCGATTTTCTTTTGACCGTTGCGATTTTCTAAATCGCGTTGCGATTTTTATATCGCGTTGCGATTTTATTGGTCATTTTGGCAAATCCAAAAAAAATTGGTTAAAATCGTATATTATAAGGTATTTTTGGTCACTGAGGCGATTTTCTCAATTTTTAAAAATAAGAACTTGGAGTTATTTAAAATCCCAATTTTTAAAAATAAGAACTTGGAGTTATTATCAATCACTTAGACCAAGTATAATCAAACACTTATAAAATTACTTTTTAAAATAAATTTTAAAAACCTCTTTTTCATGATAATTTTAAGATCTGCTCTTGACTAAAGAATAAAAAACGAATTGGAGGAGAACTAATGCCCTACAACGATCAAGCATGATACCTAACCGATTATATATTGTCTTAATATTGGGTTTACGAGTTCAAATTTATTTTACAATATGATCCTTTCATCAATGTAAATTTATTTAATTTGAGTGAAGCCTCAATTGATTCCTTCTGGAAACAACAATATTCACTCGATTTTTCTTAATGACATCACCTTAAGTTATTAAATATCATGAATGGCATGAATATAAAAATGCATGAGATGGTACATAATTGATGTATGATGATATTAAACTAGAAATTTCTAAATAATATAAATAGTTTTTATTTAAAATATTAAAAATCATTTGAATGTAAAGAAGGGTACCTATTCATTCGAACAATCTTCGACGTAGCATACAAGCATATGTATCTCACTTACTCCTTGTAAGACCAGTACATGATTAGATCACATTGAATTAAAAAAACACAATATTTGTTCAAACTACATATATTAGATTCCGTACAATGCAGATCATCTTTGCAGGAACATAACATGAATGAATTCAAGCTATATAAATTAAAATCATATACAACAGCTGCATATAAACAAGCATTTCAAAAGTGGCCAACAAATACATGCAAATCACAAGAAAAAACTTGACCTCTTTCCTTCTTGACCTTTGGCACACACTCACTCTATGCTAAGCAGACTCTACCTTGAGTTAAAATCAAATAATAGCAAGCATCAAATCTTTTAACTTAATAATAATGACATGATACAGAAAATTATATCAAACCTACTATGAGAACCATTGTGCTGGAATGTTTTCGCTTTTATCCGCCAGATCCTTTACTGCATCTGGTAGGCTCTTTAAAACCTGCATTTGCAGCGCAACATTAAACTACTTGCATGTAAAAGAAAGAAGAAAACATAGTGTTATAAGTCTACATTGCTCCAATTCTTCATTTTTCTTGAAATACATAAAATCTTGAAAAAATTGAACATACTCATGCTGGACACATATGAGTTGGAGAAACACTCAAGTCCAAGTAGCATAAATAGTAGCAATTGTAACAGTATTAAGAACAAAAACTGAAAATGAAGCCCGAAACAATACCCAAGCCTATCTACATTTATGATGGAAGAATAGAATATAATATTGTAATTGTAATGATACCTGGTATAGGTGCCATGCAGCGAAAGCATCAGTTGCTGCATACTGTAGTTGCTCCTTGGATAAAGGATATAACTCCCAGTTCCCTAGCCTAATTTTCTTGGGCTTCGGAAGCTGCAATACAAAGAATTTTAATAAGACTTCCCAATGAAAGCATTCAGCCTCGGTGCCCAAAGCAAAAGCAAAACCAAATATTTTGGTGGAAGTTGAAATGCTAATACTATTTACGGGTTGAGAACTAATATCATATTAGGAGTATGTAAGATGAAAGCCTACTTCAGTTTTCTCCAGGATTTCAAATAGCTAAATTAGATGGTACCTCTTTGCAAAAAAGCTCCTCGGTGAGAGCTGCAAGACTCCAATTTCGACGATCCCTATCAAACTTTTGATTTGCTAGATCTGAAAGATCTTCCAGAGCTTTAACAGATACATTATAGTCACTGAACATCTTGACAGCATCGCCATCAATTGCAACTCCGGTCTGTTCATTTGCAAGCAGTATTTCAAAATACTAAAAATAGATATAGATTCCAACATGGAAGTTCAGGACTTTAAGCTGCCAATAAAAAGACTTAAAATAAAGACATTACTTTTATAATTTCAGAATCCTCAAGAAGAACCTGCAGACTTTGAGGTATTCCGGAATGAATAATATGCATCACATAACAATAACGACGGTCACAACATATCTGCATCACTGCAGCCTTTCCAGGGAAAATACCTGCAGTGTCAAAATTCCAAACATAAATAATTATCCAAGCAGCTCTATTTACTGGAATTTTAGCTTAACAAACTCCCTTATCTCCTTTGCAAAACCATAAAAATGAGAATAAAGTTTCTTACTTAGAATATGAAATTCTTCCACATATGATTGGAAGAGATGCAAGGATGCAACCTTGGTTTTTGTTCCTAAACTACTAGACAGAATGTAACCAAAATTCAACCAACACGATGCAAGAAAAATTTCAAAAGGTGTGTTTATATGCATAGATAGAAAAGATTTGCCAGTAATTATCCCCCTGTTATCAAGCACCCTTTCCCTTAAGTACATTACGTTCAATAGTGATTGTCATTCTCATGCTCAATACTTCATCAATACAAATATTGCAGATAATATGTTTTGCACTTCCATCACAAAAATGACACTTCATTATAAAATTGGACATGGCTCTTGTAATTGTTGCAGTTGGATGAGGAAAAGCGTGTTCCATCCTTTCTTTGGCATATCAACTAAATGCATGTAAATGTTATATATGAGTACAAGTATTGTTGGAGTAGGAAATATTGACCTAGCTGTAAATATAGAAATTCTAGGCTATATTAAAGGAGATTAGGCAGATTTCTTGTATAGTTGTAAATTCCAGTGGTTATATTCTTTTTTTATTATTATTTTGGTGACATTTGCATCTATATATATGTACAATGTGATCCAACAGAAGAAAAACTAACCACCACACTTCCGCCATGCCTGAAACTCAATATGATGCTTCAGTCACTAATCCTACTTCTAAAACACCTACCTCATCCAATCAAAAAAAATTCTTAGCCACATGTCATTCTCATTCGGTCCAAATAACTATTATTAGGCAGAATGGAGAGAATTTTCTATGCTGGTCTCTGTATGTGCGTATGTATGTTCAAGGCATGGGGAAGATTGGATATTTGACTGGTGAGAAGAAGGAACCAGACATGGATGACCCATCCTAGTCTTCTTGGGATACAGAAAACTCCTTGGAATAGGACATAAGTTCCAATTACATGTGTTATCATACAGAAAAAGAACTTTGGGATAATGTCAATAGAATATATTCAAATCTGGGAAATCAGTCTCAGATATATGAAATCATGCAGAAACTGGCGGAAATACATCAAGGTGAAGATAGTGTCACCAAATATTTTGATTCTCTGAAACGTCTATGGCAAGATTTAGACTTCTTTAACTTTTATAAATGGAAATCCACCGACGATTTCAATTACTACAAAAAAGGGTAAAAGGTGATTGCATTTTCAAATTTCCCATGGGACTTGATGTGGAGTTTGATGAAGTTGGGGGAGAATCATTGGGAGACAACCCCTTCCATTTATTGGTGAGGTATTTGCTGAGGTTTGAAGCAAAGGAAATCACAGGTTGGCTATATTGGGGGAAAAAAGGCTCAAACAGAAGCATTGAAAATTCTTCATTAGCAGCAACTAAGCGATATCCTATGTGGGAGGAGTGAACAAACCAAAGCATACACGTGAAAACTGCTGGAAACTTCATGGAAAACCAGCTAACTGGAAGAGAAAACATTTTTTTTTATAGGAATGTGAGGTCTCATTAACAACCCCCCTCATGATTAACGGACCACCAAAACGGTGTTCCATAGTCGGCGGAAGGGGGAAAAGAGTGCCTTGTTTTATTAATAGATCAAACTCGTACAAATTACATAAAGAAACACCTTACACACCATCCAAAAAACAGACTCCCAGCACAAACTACATGGGGGCAGAGCACATACAAAACATCACCCAATCCCTTGTTTAGCCAGAGAATCTGCCTCCCAATTGCAACTTCTAGAAATGTACCTAACAATAAACCCCCTTTCCGAAATAATAGATACAATTTTCCCAACCAGATAAGTAAAGAAAGGAGGGGCTGAAGCCGGCCACACAATCCAGTCCACAGCTACTTTACAATCACTCTCAATAATCAATCTTCCCTCCTTAGCCCATGCTGATGCGAGAAAGAAATCAATGCCTTTTTCTATTGCTTTCAGCTCTGCCAAAGGGGGAATACAAGGGCCAACACTAATAGAAAAAGACCCCAAGACATTACAGCTGGAGTCCTTCAAAATACCTCCAATTCCACCCACTAGCCCATCACCACTAACCGCCCCATCAACATTAAACTTAAAAAAATGAGTTGGAGGAGGAAGCCAACTCTGAACGGTTTTCCTTTTAACATTAGGACAAGGAAGCATATCTGCAATAGTAGGATCCTCAATAAGAGAGTCGACTAGGATATTGACATTAAACTGGAAGAGAAAACATGAAGGCAAGTTCAATCATACTCCCTCAGGAAATGAAGCTGACGTTGTCCCCTTCACTCCACAACAAATTGATCAAATATTAAAGCTGTTGAAATCTAATTCCGGATCATCTGGTACTCCTAATACTTTCCTTGGAACAAACAGGTAGAAATTTAAATGCCTTATCCCTGCTCCATGGATCATAGATATTGGAGCATCTGACCATATGCCAAGTTTTTCAATTTTTTTTCATACTTATGTTCCTTGTTCTAGTCATGAAAAAAATTTGTATAGCAAATGGTTCTTATACACCAATTACTGGTAAAGGTCCAATCATTTTGTCAAAAACCTTAACTCTTAAATTTGTCCTTCATGTACCTAAGCTTGCATGCAATCTGTTATCTGTTAGTAAACTGTCTAAATATTCCAATTGCTATGTCATTTTTGCGACTCCTATTGCGTGTTTCAGGACCAAAATTCAGAGAGGAAGATTGGCAGTGCTAGGATGATAGTGTTAGTCCTATCTCTGTTAAAGATAAAATAATGTTTCAACACTATAGATTAGGGCATCCTAGTTTCTCCTGCCTGAAAAGGTTATTTCCTACCTTATTTAAAGAAATATATTGTTCTAATTTAATTGTGAAAACTGCATTTTATAAAAAGTTCATAAAAACATTTATCATTCAAAGCCTTATTGTTGAAAATAGGGCTAATGTAAAGTGAAGTAAAAGGAATTAAGTGACGAAATAAATTAAATGACAAAGGTAAGGAAAAGTGAAAAACTTCATTGTCGTATATTCATCTAAAACAGGCTACAAGTTTAATAAATATATACAGTAGGTGAGAACAAGTATTTAATTTAAACTAAACTACTTAGTAGTTATCCTTATCTATCTAACTTTCTAAGAGTTAGTGTTATATTAAAATACTAACTAATTATCCTTATCTATCGCATAACCTACACTCCCCCTCAAGTTGGGGAGTAAATGTTGAAAAGACCCAACTTGGATATAATCTCATCAAAGGTAATTCTTGGAAGTGCTTTGGTGAGAATATCTGCTAACTGATTCTTCGTTGAAACATAATTGAGTTTCACCGTTCCACCATTCACCTTTTCAGAGATGAAATGTCTGTCAATCTCCACATGCTTCGTTCGGTCATGATGAATTGGATTCTTTGCAATACTTACTGCAGATTTACTGTCACTTTGAAGTTCAAACCATTTGTCGGCACATAACCCCAGCTCAGTTAACATTCTTTGAAGCCAAATTCCTTCACAAATTCCAAGTGTCATTGCTCTAAATTCTGCTTCTGCACTATTTCGAGACACCATCGCCTGTTTTTTACTTCTCCAAGTAGCCAGATTTCCCCAAACAAATGAACAATAACCAGTTGTAGATCTTCTATCCGTTAATTCACCTGCCCAGCTTGATTCCGAAAAAATTCTTACTGTTCTATCATCACTCTTTCTAAAAATTAACCCATGTCCTGGTGTCATTTTCAAGTATCTTAGAATTCTATTCACAACCTCTAAATGTTCTTCTCTTGGATCATTCATATATTAACTCACTATACTGACAGGGAACGCAATATCAGGTCTAGTAAATGATAAATAAATTAGTTTACCTACTAGCCTTTGATACTGTTCTTTGTTCACAGGACTTCCCAATTCTTCTCTCCTTAGCTTAAGATTTTCTTCCATGGGTGTTTTTGCCGGCTTACATCCCTTCATTCCGTAAAGTTCCCAAGTCTTTGGTTTCGAACTCCTTCGCAAGTAGCTTTTTCAATCTTTCTATCTCCATACAATCATCACCTGTTAGAATGATATCATCCACATAGACAATCAAAATTGTCTTTTTGTTGTCTGAAGCTGTTTTGACAAATAAAGTGTGATCCGACTGACATTGCTTGTAACCATCCTGAATAATCACCTTTGTAAATCTGTCAAACCAGGCTCTTGGAGATTGCTTAAATCCATACAAGGACTTTAGTAATCTACATGTTTTTCCTGTATTACTCTTCACAACAGGTGGAATTCGCATATATACTTCCTCCTCCAAGTTTCCGTTTAGAAATGCGTTTTTGATGTCTAACTGATGAAGCACCCAATTCTTTTTTTTTTTTTTGATAGGAATAGGAGGTCTCATTAAAAACCTCCCTCATAGTTGACTCTTGAAAAGTGGCAACTAATTGAGGGAGGAAAAGAGTACCTCAATTTATTAATAAACCAGAATTACATAAGATACACAATACATTCTAGCCCTGAATAACATAAGATATACATAACACTCTAACCCTCGATAATAAAACAGGACATTAATACAAATAGCGTTGGGAAACAAAGACCCCTTAGCCTAACCCATCCTCAGCTAGGTCATCAGACTCAACAGAAAGCCTGCAACACTCAACCGATCCCCTGCTTAGCTAACCTGTCGGCCTCCATATTGCAACTCCTAGGAACCCATCTAAGAACGACGCCCTTAGCAGTAACAAGAACTCCAATTTCCTCCACCAAATCACTGAAAAAAGTAGGAGCAGGTTGTAGCTTTAAAATCCATTCCACTGCACATTTGCTATCACTTTCCAAAATAAGTCTACCCTTGTTAGCCCAATTGGAAGAAAAGAAAAAAACCAATCCATTCTTAATAGCTTTCAGTTCAGTCACTATAGGGAGACCCGACCCTACTGCAGAAGAAAAATTAGCTAAAGAGCA